AAGGCTGGGTGGACACGTCACCAGTGCATTACAGGCAGGGACAAACGATCATATGCCCACTCCTACAGGCCATTTATCCCAACTTTCTGATTGTCATTAAACTGTCACAAGTACAGAGCAATGAAATTCACTCTCTGCATTTAACACATTCTCTTGTAAGATAAACCATTGTGCAGCACCCAGGGGGCAGTGTGGGGTAAAAGGTCTTTGCTCACGGAGCCAGAGTGGCAGTCTGTGGGAGTGGGGCTAAGACTCAGCACCTCAGAATTCCAAGCTCTATGCCCCAACCACTTGGCCGCCAATCCTCCCCCAACTAGGCTGCCACATTCAGCTGATCTCTATGTGAAAATTCTGTCTGCGTGGAAGCCAAAAATTACATAATTTGGCCACCAGAGTCCTTTTGTCATTCAGCACAGGGAGAACATGCAAAATCCATCTGCAAAAAAACCAGACCATTATTCAAATTCAGAAGCCTCCTGTTACAACCTGACTGCTTTTACCACAGTGCAGCTCACTGAGGCATTTGGGAATAAGCACATATCGAGGCCCAGTGGATGATGCACTACAAATAATGATGTGTAACTTTCTGAAATGCTGCACTACATTTGCATTAACTTGACTCACTCTCAAGTGATACTCATTAGTGCCAAAACAATTAATCTAATTAATTGTAATAATAAAGTTTCATAGGTGCTCTATGTGAAAATTCTGTCTGCGCGGAGGGCGTGGAAGCCGAAAATTATATAATTTGGCCACCAGAGTCTTTTTGTCATTCAGGCGGTTTACTAGAAAGAGACTGAGGGACAAAGAAACAAACAAAAACTCAATAGGGAAATTGAGCTAATTTAAATTCGTCATGTAATAAATTTTTATCATTTGATTAATATATTGTTTTTTTTTTTTGTGACAGGCCTAATGATGGCTGATAAATACCAAAATGCAAAGATAAGCCAAATCACTAACAAAAATCTTTTCTGATTGGTGTGACCACTGACTTAACAGATAAGGCACCAGGATTAAAGAAACCTGGCTGTTTGCCTGGTCTTGAGCCTTCTAGCTACACAGAATAGATCACCATAGTAACTAATGTTTGTGAAACCGAGTCGAGGCTTAATTAAGCCAGGATATCTAGAAAACCTGCTTTAATGTGTCCAGAGTTGCACAAAATTTGTTTTAAAAAAAATTTAGTTTTTTTTGTTCTTTAACTTTATTAAATGCAATTTAAGTTTATATATTTTTTTTGTACTTACACTTTGTGTATTATTTTGCCTGTTCCTTTCATTATCTTATAATCTCTTGAGATTTTCAGTTCTAAAAGGGTAACTAACTAGACGATTAAAGAGCTGGAGATGGTTGTTAAATGTTGGCCCATAAACTTGGTCATAAATTTGACTAATAGAATTTTGAAAATAGAATTTTAGCAGAAGCTTTTCAGAGAAAACTGCTCTTTGAAATCTTGATGTAATAGGGAAGTTATGAAAACCTGCTTGCATAACATAAATTCTTATGCCCATGAAATAAAAAAACTGAATTGCATGCTTTGTGCACAATCAGGTTTCCTTGCAGTGTCATGTTAAGACATGCAGGAATGCAGTGGCGGGGGAACCACGTGGTGTGACATGGCTAGAGGATCCACCGCCGGTCAACCCTCGTTTCCTTCCAAATGCTGACTGTGTGGGATTTGAGACTACCTCACCATGCACATAATCTCTTACTGCTCTCCCACACAGTAGCTACTTCAGCGACTGTACAAACACTTTTATTGATATTGCTTCTCAAGATCGGTTCTTTATTTCTGTTTATTTGTATTGCTTCACTTTATAGGGCCTTACTAGCCAAACTTATGTCCAGATACCCAGAACTATATCAAATAAATCCACTATATTCTAATAATATAGGCTCTGGGTTCAATGACATGGATCCAGTTTCACTTCTTAGAATGCATTGCTGTTATTTACTATTTTGATGTAATTAATTATGGATTATACCTTTATCATATGCCTTTTTTGTAAATTTACCTTTGCTGCACAGTGTTATTTGTATTTTATGTTTGTATTTGCTTCAGTTTGCCTTTAAAATAGAAATATCCAATAATGTGCCTCAGTGGGGAAGTTTATGTGCACCAGCAGAAAAGTTGCATTTATTGCATATGCTCAGAAAAAATGTTTTACAGCTATAGCAAAAAGACTACAGATTTATATTTTGGATGAACTTCAGTAGAGCTTTAGAGTTCTGCCAAGTTTGATATTTTCTTTAACTGCAATTTTGAAGAATCCTTTTCTAAAGATTGCTTCTGAATTTAAAGCTTTAAATTTTCACTCAACCGTTGTTAATGCCTGGTTTTTCTTTTTAATAAGGGTTGAAATATTTTAATCTTAATCAAATCATGAAGGTAGTTCCATTGAAGGTAATTTTATGTTATGATATATTTGTTCATTCAGTTAATTTGATGTGCTGCCTTTTTGTTTGAATTGCTTTATTCATACTGACGTGGGTCATTCAGTATAAAACTATTGTAAATTAGTTCAAAGAATTTTTAGTAGATTTTGAGAAATGTGCTAAAAACAAAGGCTTTAAGCATTGTTTTTTTTTTATATTTATATTACAGGAGTTTAACAGCTTGGGGTTTTTATTTTGGATCACTTGAGCTTCAGTCGGATTTTCTACAACATGTCCTTTCATGCAGACTTGTCCCCATGATGCTAGTCTCTTTTGTTCTGGCCTGGAACAATAGGTCATTTGTCGGTGTTTGCACTTGACATAATCATGCTCTGATTGTGATACCACCAGACTTCATGCTGTCATGAGCAGAGGTAGAAAGGTGGCTGCAGTAGTTTGGTGCTTTAACCTTCAGCAGTGATGTGTGAAGGAAAGTACTTGTTGTCTTCACACTGTGGTTTGCTTTTTCTGCTGCTGGTTAAACTAGTTTGTTGTGTTTTTGACTCCCCAGGCATTGCTTTTACACATTGTATGTTATGGATAATCCTTTCACCTCAACCACAATCCTACATTCATCCCTTCAAGATCTCAGTCATTCATCACTAAACCAAATTATACTCATGTTTCCATGAGACCTGAATAAAAATTAAATGTGCTTTTGCATTTTTTCGCTAAATCAATTTACCTTTTTAAATGTTTTTTTTTTTTTTTTTTTGCCATTTTTTTATTTTGTGCATTTATTGTTTAATGAATTTATGAATCAATACAGGAGTTAATCATTTCTGTTATGACATGTATTAACATAGAGCTATGTTAATGATTGTGAACATCTAAAGCACTAATTAAAATTGCAAAAACATGAAGATTGATTTACTTTAATCCAAAGCCAAGTCGATGTTTATAAGACAATAATAAGTCAAATTTTTTTTTTCCCTCAGTTTAACTTTTTTCTTGCTGTGTGTAAGAAACTGACTCAGAACAAAGAGTAACTGTAAATGGTTTATGTCTGACTAGGTCTGTGTGGCCAAATTAGCTTCCATGCCCTTTTGCACAGTCCATGCATGGCTGATTTTCTGCACCAAACACCTACAAAAATATGCAACTACACAGTGCACTACCCATGGAAAAACCTAGTGAATAAGTTGAAGCTCCTACTTGAGTGGGTTTTCAAACTTACACATCAGTAGGCATTTTATGATTTGGCCCATAAATATCACCACAATCAACAGAATGTGAAAAATCCCTGGAAAGAAATTGTCAGTCTTGGACGACATGAAGAGAATTTTAAAAGGGTTGGAAAAGCCTGTGTTTTCTACTTCCACATTGTGTGGTGTTATAAGCTTGCACAAAGCTGTTTAGCATTAGATGTAAAAAGGACCGTTTTGTTGTTGTTCATTGCTTTTTAATGTTGTCAGATGTTTATTTATTTTAAAATGTAATGCTTTACACAAAGAAATGTGATCTTTCTTTTAATGTTCACTATAGCTCACTCAGGCTCAGGCAAAAAAAAATCAGCGACTGAACTGTTTTCTTGAGGTTTATCACGTAGCATCAGGTGACCTTTGACCCCGTGGTTTTGCTGCAGGAAGGCTTCACTGCTGGAGCTTTGCTTACCTGCACAGCTGCCATGGTAACTCTTACTCTGCCATGAGGCGTCTACATCGTGATCCATCCCCACCTGCTGGAGTAGACCAACCTTTATCATAAAATCCCACCAGCAGGGCTGAGTGGCTAAAAAACAGATCTTTTGTCACGCATGTGATTCAAGTCACGCCACAGCATGGAAACTAGTATAATCAATCAATCCCCATGGCTTTTGTTTCCTGTTTTAATGCGGGACAGGTCATATGATGCTTGGCATTGTTTATAGCACTCGAGCTCCCTCTAGTGTTTGAGTGGTTTCATTTTTCTCATTTCTTTTGTAAAAAGTACTACAGGACAAAACTTCCATCCACAACATGAGATCCCAGATGTGATAAAGGCAATACAATGAGTAACAATGAGGGGGGGGGGGGGCTTTGTACCCACCACATTTAATGCTGTGATGAAAAAATGTTTAAAATAAATCAGAGATAACACTTTGCTTCAAAATCCTGAGAAGAAAAAAGAAAACTTGTCATTCAATCATTCCTAGACTAGTGTGATTGTTTTCATTCCTACTAACAGTCTGCCTCGTTATCATAGGATTGTGTAATGTAATATTTATCTTTAGAAGCTGGTATTCTACAGATTGCTATGATGCATTCATTACCAGTGGTCATACTTCTAGAGAACTATTTGACAGTCAAATTTGACCTTCATTAGGGTAAAAAGAGGGGTTTTAATCAGTTTAATTTAATGCCAGAAATGGTGTTTGTTTATCATGGTAAAAACTTGCAGGAAATCCCATATTTGATCTGCTTCTGTAATGCTGCTGCTGTTTGAAATTCTTTTATTAAATCTCACAGGATTATCATTAAAAATCACTTAATTTCTGAAATGGTTCCTTATTGAAATACTGCTTCCTCTGACTGCATACAGAACCTGTCCAAAATAATCAGTTTATTTTTTATTTTTTGCAGCCTGAGGCCTGTGCTTCCTCTCCGCTTCTCCAGCGCCGGGAGGAGGAGGACGACGATGGCGACCTGAACAAAGCTTTGGGCGTTCAGCGCTTTCAAAACATTCTTCGCCCTGCTGCATCTGTACCCGACGAACTGCTTCACTCCTACCATGAGGAGGACATTGAATGTATGAACAGAGCATTTACCTCTTAGCTTTTTTTCTGCATCCACTGATAACGTTGTTTGTTTGATACTGTGCCATAAGTAATTACTGGCATCCCTAATGCAGGAAAAAAAATAACTTAATGTAGTAGTTATACTAAATTTATATATTTTGTTTGGGAACATTTATTCAAGATTTTTTAGGCATCAAATTTATTTTCTTTTTCCATGCATTAAAGACACAAAAGTCTCAGGGAATATGTATGTACAAGAAATTGAGAGAGAGGATGTGCATATTTGTGGGTTATTCCTCCTCCAGTTAATAAATGCAAAATTAATAGCAATTTTCTCATTTTTCAGCATAAGATGATGCACCACACAAGGAGATGTCATTAGGTGTGCTCAGAGCTGTCTTAAAAAAAAAAAAAAAGTTTTCCTGAATTGCTCCCACTTTCTTGTTTTTGTAGATCACCGTCACTACTCCCGTCACATTCACCGGCCTCTGTCCAAGCTCCCGACTGAGGGGAAAAAGAAAAAGGGCAGCGGTAGAAGGAAGAAGAGCAAAGATCATAAAAGCAGCCGTCCCCCCTCTAGTGGTCCTATTGAGGAGGGGGAGGATGAAGAGGAGGAGGAGAGCATAGAGGCTTCTTCTGCTCTGTCAGAGTCTGAGAAACCCAAAGATGTTGAGGTACTATCCTTTAAGTGAAAACAACTATAGAGGTGCACAATTTTTAAATCCGTTATTTAGATTTATTGTTTTTATTTGTACACTGCTTTCTACCCCCATGTGGCAAATTAGTCTGATCACCTGAGAAAAAGCCTATCAATACCCCACTTTAAAGTCACTATTCATGTTTTATTACCACTGATTGTTGATTTTAAAAGACAAAAGTATTTATGTTTTTGCTTTTTAGGATATTTAATGTAGGATGACATTTCTGTACCAGGTATAAGTCTGTCCTTTTTTAGCAGTTGAGCATAAAGTAGCATAGATGCATGTTATTTCTTTTGCAGAAGTTCTGCAGGAAGGGTTTTTTTTTTCCACAAAACAAGATTTGATTATAAGCCTTTCCAAGCTGTCATGTTGTTTTCTGCCTTGTCCGTGAGTTCTAATGGACTTTTACAATGCAGGACTTGCAGGATTCATCAAAAAAAGGTTTTGTTTTGTTATAGAGATTTGCAGATTAACCTCTAAAATGACGCATACCTACTCTTTCCCAAAATAATAAGGAAATATGTGAAACTATTTGATTTAATTTGAAAACAGCAGACAGTGACCCAATGGTTTTATCAGAGAGGAATTCAATTAAATAAATTATTAAGGAATAAAATATGAAATAATTCAATTGCAAATTATACATTAGAAAACATGGGAAAATATGGAAAACCATGAAGTTTTAAACTTATACAAAAATCAATTCAAAGCAGATGTGGGTCAGAATCCAGCCGCTGCGGTCAATCGGGACAAGTACATCAGCCACAAAAAAACTCTCTTCACTTCTGCTATTAGCTTTTGTTAATAGGGGCTGTGTCCCCTACTGAGATTTTACCCATTGGAGAAAAAAAACAAAACAAACAAAAAAATACTTGGCAATGAATCATTTCTGATAATGTTAAAAAAGCAGATTTTTTTTTCTGGCGTCTTTAAATGTAGGATGTGTGATTGGGAGCTGTCCACCACCTCCTGGGCTTCCCCTTTGTTCTGGATCAATGTCCAGCAGTAGAAAAAGTCTGCAGATGTTTGTTAACAATACTTCAGGCTTTTGTTTCTTTTCTATTTTGTCAACTGATGTTTCACTTTCTTTGCTTTGTTTAGTTTTTCTTGTCAGATGATGATCAGGTGTCCAGAGGAGGAAACTCAACCCGAGAGCTGAACGTCCTTCCTCAGTCCCCTGCAAGAGCAGAAGCCGAAGATGTTTCCACCACTGAGTGAGTGCAGTTTCATTGCCTGACTGAGACACAAACTATTTATAATCCAATATTACCTTCTGGGATTCAATGAAACCTTCTAGCAGAAATATTTCAGGTTAACGCACGCTTTAGACTCTGAGGTGCTCTCTGTTCGTTACCAAGACTCAGGCATCCAGTGTGCCTGCTGGGGATCATCTGATGGACCAGAGTAATCCTGTTTTCATGAACCCATATATCAGCATCTCTATAGAGACTCTGCTCACCCACACGGTTTCAGGCTCCTCCTTTTGCAGTGACTTTTCCATTTTGAGGTTTTAATCTGAGCCTGGATTACGCAGCATAAAGCTTTAGTCTAGTTGGCTAGAGAACAAGCCCATTTTAGATTGATTAGTTTATTTAGTTTGGATATAAGAGAGAAGCAGCCACTGTGTAAGAGCTCAAAGTAACTTCAAGTAGGTAAGTTAGTGTTTTCTGCTTAGTACTTGTGTATTTGTAAAATAAAGCTATAAAGTATCATTCAGAAATGTAAGAAAACTGTCTAAAGAGTGCATTGGTTTTTCTTCTCTCCATTTTATTGCAGTAAACCCAACTCAGCCAGCTCTCCAAGCCTCACGTCCCACTCTGCTTCACCTGAAAACCCACCTGTGGGTCGGGTCTCCTCCACCAGCCGTAGCTACGACCTGCAAGAGCGACGCCGAACAGGCAACATGACGGGTGCAGAGCAGGCCAAGTACCAGCGCATCCCCACGGATGAGACCGAAGCCCTGACGCTGGCCTCTGCTGATCTGGATGGGATCAAAAGTGAGTGATAAATAGATTTCTGCGATTACTATTAAATTCTTTTTTTCTTTTTTTATATCATCTGTTTGTAAGTAGTAGATGGAAATATATTATGTTTGCATTGGGAAAAAAATGTATCTTGCTTCAGTTCAATCTCTTGTTTGGTTGTTTAGCCATTTGTTAACTGTATTACACAATAATATAATGAACTGGTTTTCATTTTCTCCGTGAATATAAAAACATCTGATATTTCTAATAAAGAAAAAAAGTTAATTCATAGATTTTTATAACTGTTTAGGTTTATGTCAAAGTGTTTTGTGTTTCCCTTGTATTTTTAACAGCAAATTTGAAGTCTTATTTTTTATTGTTTTAATTGGTTAAATGCTCTACTTATTTTTACTATTACTGTGTTTAGACTTTATCGATACATTTTAAAAATGGTTAAAAAAATGTATTTAAGAAACCTAAAGCAGCCGAGCTTTAACCTTGTACATACAGTTTTCAGGCTCGGGTCACGGTTCATAATAGCAGTAGCCTCATCAATCAGTCTATCAGTCTCCCTCGCCCATTTTCCCTTCTACCTCCAAGATGCTTAAACTCCTTCACTTGTGGCTGGAGCTCTCCTCTAACCTGAAGGGAACAAGCCATCTTTTCCCTGTCCAGAACCATGGCCTTGGACTTAGAGGAGCTGATTCCCACCTGGACTCTAATACTCGACTGCAAACTGCCCTATTTCATGCTGTAGGGCTTGGCAGGATAGAACCAGCAGAACCACATCATCTGCTTACTGCATGGGACGTAATGTACTGGTTACCAAACCAGAACCCTTCTGGCCCTAGGCTACCCCTAGAAATCCTTTCCATAAAGGTTATGAAGTGGAGCGGTGACAGAGGGCAGCCTTGCCACAGTCCAACATGCACTGGAAACTAATGCTGGCAATGATGACCATACTCCTGCTCTGCTTGTTCAGAGACCGGATGGTCCCTAGTAAAGGGCCCTTGACTCCACACTGCTCGAGCACCCCCCATAAGGAATTAAAGAGATATATGATCGAATGCCTTCTCTAGGTCCACAGAACACATGTAGAGCTGTTGGTAAACGGCTCTACATGATGTTGACTAGAGATATGTCGGCCATGACAGAACGGAAACATCCAGAGACCTAAGGTCGGGGTGGATCTCACCCTCCCCTAAAGCCTTACCACTTCAGCCTGGGTGAAGAAAGAATTCAGCCAAGAGCATCCCACAAGGTATGTCAGCCGGGATGAGAAGATCGTCAAAGTATTCCTTCCTCCATCTGACAACACTGATTTTAGTGCAATGGGGAGTTACTGATCAGGATATCGTCAAAGCACTACTTCCCCCTCCAGAGACCATGGGCAGTGTGCCAGAATCATTTGAGGTTCACTGATGCAGTCCTCAGTGTCTAAAAATGGTAGTTCCAGGTCTAGTGCTCCTAGTGGATAAGTTACAATCTTGCTTTAAGGCTTTAGTTTTTGTGGCTTTAGATGAACCAGGGGGGACATTGAAGACTTAAAATCTGAAGGGCGAGAGTCACAGTGATAGAAGCTTACTATTAGGAAATATATGCAGTATTTTGGCTGAAGAGTTTTACCTATGATACTCAAAAAAAAAATGTTGTTGAAGACCAGTATTTGTATTGTTACGCAACCTATTAGTGCTTTGGTAAAAACAAAATATTGGTATAGTAGGAATACAATTCTTCAAATAAGGGATTTTTGGGGGCAAAATATATGCCTAACAATTAAGCTGCATGTATTTTTCATAATAAAAAGATAAGGATCCAGAAGCTGAGCTGCTAAAAGAAGGTTTTCAGCCAGTGTCTTCTGAATTAAAATGAAAATGTTACTGAGAAATAACTGAAAGCAGGAAAAACCTGGACGTCAGCAAGTTTGGAGAGCCAAGAGGGCAACAAATATATTACATTATAAAGAGTCTTGGAGTCATCTCTACTTGAGATGCATGTCGAATGAATCCATCTTAATTGAAAACATGGATGGAGCATGAAGGGATGGAATACACTATCAATTCTGTCTTGAAAAGTTAAATATGTTTTCTTTGTAAGTTAGATATTTTTTCTTTAGAAGTACTGAATCTTCTGGCTTGGGGCATATCTCATCTTGTCTTCATCATGACTGTCAGCTTCCCTGCACCTTCGTTCTTCTATCAGTTTTGCTAATCCTCAGATTGCTTCAGAAATGTAGCTAAAGTCTTCTTCTGATCCTTGCTTGGTTGCTATGTGGGCCCCAACATCTTGTAAGGTTGCCGGCTCCTAGCTCAGCGTGGGCCCGTGTTAAGGGTGGAGGTGATTTGCGTCAAAAAGCCAACCTCTCAGCAGAGAACACCGACAAATTAGAAAGTTTGGCAGACAGACCTTCATTATTAAATTAAGCGTTCCTGCTGTCAGGTGAGGCCCCTAGGATTTGATCCTTATCCAACATGGGGGCTAATGGCGAAAACTGAACCTTAGTTTCTGACCTCAGATCATTACAGAGCTAAACGAGGCAGAGGGAGTTAAGTTGACATGACTGGTTTGATAATTAGTTCTTCTTGAGTTTTTTTTTGGGGGGGGGGGCGAGCTGAGTGTGCAACCTGGTTCATTAGAACTTCTCAATCATGTTTTCTTTTATCTGCTTCCCGTCCCATAAAATCATCCTGGGAAAGTGTCCGTCTATCTGGCTGCTGCTCAACTACAGGAATTATTTCAGCACCATCCTTCAGCTTCTGCTCAACTCCAGCAAATTATCACCATTTCTCACTGATGCATTTTGATGTCTGGAAATGCCGTCTTTTTTTTTTTTTTTCCCTAGCCGCAGCACATTGTGGTCATGTAGCCTGCTTATGGGCCTCCTTTTCCTTTAAAGTCCCACCAGGACTCCCCCATCACCCCCACTCCCTTTGTTTTTTTTTTTCCTACTTTGATGCAACCTGCAGACATCATGGAGCGACTTTTAGATAAAACCTGAAGGCTGTGGAGGCGGGTCTGTTGCAAACAAGGCAGCAGATGAAAGAGTTTGTTTTGTCCTTTTGAGGACTGTCGGATACTTATGACCCAACAGATTGATGTCGAACATTAAAAGCTTCTCTGCTTGTTACATTATTCAAAGTTCGCATGCTGGTAAGTCTTTCATTTTAGATTTTCCTTAACTGGTTTCATTTGTGTGGCTGCAAGGGGTAATTTCATTTGCAACCATGTTTCCTTTCATCGATTGCTACAACTGGAACACATCAGCAGTAATTATGTGTCAGCAGATTCACTGATCTTTGAACTCCTGACAGAACAGGTTCTGCTCGTTTTTGTTTTGTCTGAGATACCCAGTGCCGCTATTCTTTCTCTGCGTTCTTTTTTTAATACCTGGTGTGCTGCCAGCACGAGTAACTGTAGTCCGTGCTCTGGGACAATAGAAACAAAACGGCCAGAAGGCCTCTGATCTGGTGGCCTGAGATTTGATCTAAAATTTTAAGGTTGGTGCAAGGCTGCTGAAAAGATGTGCAGTAAATAATGTATTCTTTCGGTTTCTAGAAGAAAATTTTGTTTAAAGAAATGTTTTGTTTTTTGACACTAATTGGACTTCTTTGTTCCTCAGGTCATCGATTTGAGGATGTTCCCGGCGTGCGCAGACACCTCGTCAGAAAGAGCACGAAGGGGCAGGTGGTGCACATTGGTAAAGACCATAAGGAACCAACGACTCGCAGCAAAAAGCAAGACCGCACCCCACATGAGGTGAGTTTGTACTGGTTCTGGGTCCCGCTGCATTTAAATTAAGGAGCCTGTCCTCATTTAGAGCCTTGTTGCTACCAAACAAAATATCCATTGGTAATGATCCATATTGGGAATTCTAATAGTTTCTGAAGTCTGATTAATAACTACAGAAAGGTTTCTAAAAGCAAAGCAGCTGATTATTTCAAAGTCCCCAAAATCTTTCAGTAATTAAAAGGATTTTTATTTCTTCTTTAATCTGACAATAACCAAAATGTCCCCCTTTTTAAAATTACCTCATTAGTTTTTGAATATTATGTTATTTCACGCACAATATAATCTGTTTTTCTTGCTTGTTTAATCAATGCAAGTGTACTGCATGAAAAATAGTTTTTAAAAGTACTTTAAGCAGGAATAAAGCTTCAGAGAAGTATGGTAAGAAAGTCAATATTTGATTCCTCAGGTGACAGAAATCTGAAAATTAAGCTTTTATCTTAGTTTGATGTAATAATTGTGTTTGTAGTCATTTGTTTTCTTGCTTCCTTTCTCGAATGCAGATATAAACTGTGGCAACGGTTTTCCTATCTCTCAGTCTCTGGTTTAGTTCTGCTCTGGCTCTTTTGTGGAAGAGACAGGGAGAGAAAGAGGTGATTAAAAAAGAATGAATGAGTTCTTTCCTTTCACGCACCAAAAAGAGATGGAGGAGAGAGAGAGAGAGGCTCATAGGTAACCAGACACTGGAAGGGAAAAGCTGAGGGATCTATGTTTTATTAACACGGACACGCATTCTCATGCAGCAGGCCAGGTTCACATCTTGCTGCTGTCATGCGTGTGTGTGATGAGAATTAGCCGTGAGGATGTCTTTAAAAGCGAAGGTCCAGATCACGCTGAGTTAGGTCAACTCACCGCTTTGAGACGTTTCGCTCCTGCAGCCTCTACCGGTGGTTCTATACCGTTCTGCCTCACGGCCTGACAGCATCCTGCTGAACATGGACTCCAGTCAAATGGCTCGGTACCAGAAGGTGAGGCTGGGTGACCGGCCATTGTCGGCTTTGACCTGTGTGAGCGTGCTTTGACAGGCATGCAGTGGCTGCAGAGGACTGATTAAAGAGCTCTCCTACTTTTCTGGTTGGGATTTACAAGCTGGACTTATACTGACCAGCATGCTCATTTAACCTGCTAACGAGCGCCAAAGGCGGATGGAAGACTGCTGATGGACTACAACAAGCTTTGAAGGATCTGTTAGGGGGTTGGATCTTTTGTTTGAAATATTGCCTCCTAATGATAAAATCCTTATTGATTGTTCGTTCACATAACCTTGAGCACTTAAAGTAACATTTGTGTTTCAGAGCATAACTTGAATTACTAGATCATGATTTCCAGTGTTTGAAACTCAGGTTTAGAAATAAGTTTTAAAATGTGAGTAATTTGATTAATTTCCTGCTTCTTACTTTTAAGCATCCTTAAAGCCTTTGAACCTTCATTTTAAATGGACCGTTTTTTACCTTTACTGATTGTTTGGCACATGTTTGGGTTTGTTTGGTCATTAGAGCATGACTACTGTTCCAGGTAGAATTTTACAAGCAGGAATCCTGGACATTTTCATTAACCATTGACCTTTAGTTATCTGAACTGTTCTTTTGCTGCAGCAGCAATCATTGATGCACAAGTTTGCATTTAATCTGGATTTTCCTATTAGAGTCCAAATTATATGCAAAAAGGCTGAAATGTGTGCATAGAGCCCCAAAAAAACTTGGGTGAACATCTCCAAGAGGTTTTGCCTTAACTACTGATTTGTGGATTTTCTCTCATCCACACTTTATCAGAATTTTACATACGTGTTTGAAAATATACAGTGGGTACAGAAAGTATCCAAACCCCTTTACATTTTTTACTCTTTATTTCATGCTACCATTTGCTAAAATCAAAGTCCATTTTATTTCTCAATAATGTACACTAGGCACTCGATATTGACAAAAAACAAAACAAAACAAAGATGTAGATTTTTTTGCAAATTTATTATAAAAAAATGTAAAACTGAAATCAACTTTTTTGATTTTAGCAAATGCTACAATGAGATGGAGTGAAAAATGTAAAGGGGTACTTTCTGTACCCTCTGTACAATCCCACAAATGACCCAGGAAACCAAGACTTGAACTAAGACTCAAGTCTATCATATACTAGGAAATGCTGGATGATTAGTCTGCATTCTGAACTCTTTGATATCAACATGGTTTCAGAAGGAAACTTCTGCTGTATTTACACACTCAAATTAAATTTCCACTTGCTTTGATAGGCGAGCCAAATGGCCTCTGGAGAAAAGCTTAGATCAGAGGAGGCCTAGATTAAGCTTTTTTAAACAAAACGAAAAAAATGTAGTCTGTGTTCAGAAAAAACAAGCAAAGCATGGTGATTGCTGTATTATGCTGAGGGTTGCTTACGTTGACAGGGATACTGATGAAATAATGATGGATTAACTCTTACTTCTTAAGCTTAACCTAACCCCTTCAATTTACCTCCCTATAGTTCCAGTATGTCAAGACCTTGATAAATCCCATACAAAAGCACAATTCTTGTTAACCTGCTATATGGCCAAATATTTGAGTGTAAGTATTCAAACCCATATTTAAAATTCTGATGTGTGGATGAGATAAAATCCACAAACTCTTCTTTTGACAAATGTTTTTTTTTGTTCTACAATCTTTTCATTGCAGCTTAAATGAATGGTTCAAAAAAATAAGGAGCCTTAATTGGTACATCTCAGCTCTGTTGGTGTCATTAACTGCAAACTCGAGCTCCATGTTCAGTCAGCTAAACCTTTGTTCTCGTGACATCACCTTCAGGTGTTTGTGGAGCTGAACGAGCTGACGATTGACAAGAACCAGGAGATGCAGTGGAAAGAGACGGCTCGTTGGATCAAGTTTGAGGAGGACGTGGAGGAGGAAACAGACCGCTGGGGGAAGCCTCACGTTGCTTCGCTGTCTTTCCGCAGTTTGCTCGAGCTGAGACGGACCATCTCCCACGGTAAGAAGACTACTTTTTATGCTGCTGCATTACTTTATACTCGATAGGACTTCAACACTAAACTACAGAGTCCTGTGTGCGTTTTTAAAGGCGCTGTGCTGCTAGACCTGGACCAGAAGACCCTACCAGGCATCGCCCACCAGGTGGTGGAGCAGATGATCATCTCTGATCAGATCAAAGCGGAGGACAGATCCAACGTCCTGAGAGCTCTGCTGCTTAAACACAGGTGGAATGATGAAAGGAAGCTTTCTCTTGTGTTATCGAGGATTTCTGACAGTGCCCACATTGTTCCCAGAAAAGAATCTAATTTCCAACAAATAGTGGAAACTAGAGTCCGCTGCTGTATGTGCACATCTGTTGGTACATTCAAAAGCCTTTTAAAATTCAACTGTTAATTACTACCATATGTTTTTCTAGTTTAGAAGGAAACCACCTTTAATATGAGCACAATTTAGACAGTGGGGAATTTTCTTTTCTTTTTTTTTATACCCCTGGTATTACAGCTGTATATTCCTCTGCTGTTATTTGTACAACGTTATTTTATCTATAAAGCCAAAGAAAAACGGGCCCACAGCATGACGGATCCTCTACCTTACAGGCTTTTCTAGATTTTCATATTTTTTCGAAGACAATCCTGGAGCATTTGTTGCTGAAAGGTTATTGGTCAAAGCAACAGGACCTTGTAAAATCATAGTGGAGTTTTGCACTCTTATTTAAATTTGTAATGGAGAAAACTCTTTCCTGAAATCCCAACCAAACAGCTGGATGGCATGTGTGCAGTGTCCAGAGATAATCAGACTTTATGGCCACAACTATTCTGCCTCTTTGCAGAATAGTTTGTTGTATCAGTCACACGTTTTCAGATTTTATCGGTTCATGCTGTGATGCATAATCACCAGGTACCGAGAGCATTTAAAGATAAATAACCCCACAGCACCACTGATCCCTCACTATACTTTAGATCAATGTTTTTCAACCCTGGTCCTTAAGGCTCACTGCCCTGCATCTTTTAGATGCAGCTTTCCCAGCTTTCACACACCTGTTATCAATTGATAGCAGATTATCAGGCTTTGCTGAACTGCAATCATCTGAATCAGGTTTGCTGAAGCTCAGAAACATCCAAAACATGCAGAGCAGTTTGCCTTGAGGACCAGGATTGAAAAACCACTGTTCATGATAGAGATGAATACCTTGGGTCTCATTCTTTGGTCAGTTTTTAAACAGTGAATTCTATGAATTATCTACCTTCCTTGCGTCATAAGGTCCTGCCCTCTGGGAAGTTTGCCTCCATCATGTCATATGGATGTTCCTAGAAATATAGCACGCTATCAATTACTTTTTAAAGTCAGTAATTATGTTGTTAAAATACATTTTTTTGTGTTCTGTAATTTTCTATTTAAGCATGGTGATTTGAAAATCTCTCGAGTGTCAATTTGTATTGGCTCCATTTGCTAGAGGGACAAATTTAAACATTTCAGTTATTAGCAGGGGCTGCAATAATAATTCCAAGGGCGCTTCAGAGGCCCCCTATGGTTTAATGGTACAGCCATGAAACCCAGATACTTGCACAGAAAATCATTTTCATGTGTTTCAAGTTGATTTCCCTCTCTACTGCACACTTCCTGCTATTAGATGGCTTCATGCTTGGTCTCTGCCTCTCTTCCTCCTGCTCAACCTCACTCTCCCTTTTCCTGCCCCCCAAAGTCACCCGAGCGACGAAAAGGAGCATGCTAGCCATTTCCCCAGAAACATCTCAGCAGCAAGCCTTGGCAGCCTTTTAGTACACCACACCGCCAACCACAACCATCAGATGGAGCCGTCAGTGACCGACCCCCTCATGGGCACCGCCAACTCCACAGCGGACAACGACACTCGCATCGACATGGACAGAAGTGAATCACAGGTGGGTCTCGGCTCAAGGTTCTCTCTAAAAGTTCTCTCTCTGGATTTTTCTTTCCTCTTCATCTGTATTGCTGTGTTTACAGCTAAAGGAACCAACTCTGGGGCCTGGCATGCATCGATCCAAGTCCAAACATGAGCTGAAGTTGCTGGAGAAAATTCCAGAAAATGCTGAGGCCACAGTCGTCCTTGTGGGCAAGTTATTATTGTTAAAATACAAAAGATTTTACTCTATTTTTCTACTTTAATCACACGTAACATTTGTTCTGGTTTAACCTGAATCTTTATCTGGCTTTTTTTTATCCTCTGTCGTGTTTTTCCAGGTTGTGTCGATTTCCTGGAGCAGCCCACGATGGCCTTTGTGAGGCTCCAGGAGGCAGTGGAGCTGGAGTCTGTTCTGGAAGTACCTGTTCCTGTCCGCTTTCTCTTCGTCCTGCTTGGACCTCCAACCACCAGTATGGACTACCATCAGATTGGACGCTCAATCTCCACCCTAATGTCTGACAAGGTAAGCAGAAAATCCAAGTATAGAGTTGATGTTTTTCTTTTAATTGCTTAACTTATCCACATTTCCTCTTGTCAACAGCAATTTCATGAGGCAGCTTACCTGGCAGACGAAAGGCAGGACCTGCTGAATGCCATCAACAGTTTCTTGGACTGCAGTATCGTTCTGCCACCTTCAGAGATGGCAGACGACGAGCTGCTGCGCTCTGTTGCACGCTTTCAGAGGGAGATGCTCCGAAAGAGGGAAGAACAAGAACAAGTTAAACTGGCAAAAGAGCCAAAAAGCTTTGAGGATAAAGGTAAGCTTCTGGTTATTTGGGGGGGATTTAATCATATTGCTGGATAACAGCTTTGTTTTTTTATCACACAGAAGCCCTCCTCAAACCTTCGAAGAAATCAGACGATCCCTTAGAGCGCATGGGGCGCCCCTTTGGGGGGCTCATAAGAGATGTTCAGCGTCGATACCCGAAATATATCAGTGACTTTAAGGACGCCCTGAACAGCCAGTGTATGGCTGCAGTTATCTTCATCTACTTTGCTGCTCTCTCTCCAGCAATCACATTCGGAGGTCTGCTAGGTAAGGGTGGGTGGGATGTCTCCAACTTAACCAGTTTTATGCAGGATTACAAGTGTGCAACTTCAGTAAAGTATTGGTTCAGGGTTTTAGTGTAGTGCAGCTTTAGTGTACATTTAAATTTTATTCATATGTAATTTTTTCTTTATTTCGAGGTGAACTGAACAGAATAAAGTCACATTAAGGTTGGAAAATCTTTAGCAGTGATTTTTCTCCTTCTCAGAACGATGATGTCGCAGATATACCCTTTTTTATTTCTAATAATATCAATGTTTCTCAATTTAAAGTTCATTTATCTGTATCTGTTTTAAGGTGAGAAGACAGACGGGTTGATTGGTGTTTCTGAGCTAATCGTCTCGACTGCAGTCCAGGGGGTTCTGTTCTGCTTACTGGGAGCTCAGCCGTTGCTGGTGGTGGGCTTTTCTGGACCTCTTTTAGTCTTTGAAGAAGCCTTTTTTAGTGTAAGTTTATCATTTAAGCTAATATTTACAGCAGGATAACGGAAAATACATTTGAGGGAATGAATATTTCGCAACTTTTTTATTTTTTTAATTGATCTCTAGAACTTGCAATACATCTCATCAACAAATAAATGAACATATAAATAAACTGAAAATTTTTTTTTTTTTACGAAGCCTTTTTTAGTGTAAGTTTATCATTTAAGCTAATATTTACAGCAGGATAACGGAAAATACATTTGAGGGAATGAATATTTCGCAACTTTTTTATTTTTTTAATTGATCTCTAGAACTTGCAATACATCTCATCAACAAATAAATTAACATATAAATAAACTGAAAATTTTTTTTTTTTTACATTTTTTATTTGTTGTTGCATCATGGCCACAACTTATTAGACTATTGGTTTGAAGAAAAAAAAACTGACTAACAAAACAAGAAAAAACTGAATACAAAATTGAATACGGTTTTTTTAAGAGCCAAAATTGTTTTGGGAAAATGTTACCATAAACATGCATAGTCTGTTTTTTTATTTTTTAAGATATACATTTTACTGGACACACAGCTGTAAGCTACATGTGTGGCCACATTATGCTAATTTTGGCATTCTTGGTTGTTTTGTTGGTGATGTTGCCTTTTGTATCTCTGCTTCTGTCTCCTTGAACCGGTCGGCCTCGGCAGATGGCCGCTCACACTGAGCCTGGTTCTGCAGGAGGTTTTTTCCTGTTAAAATGAAGTTTTTCCTCTCCACTGTCGCTGCAATGATGCTTAGTGTGAGGGATTGCCTTTGAGTCAATGAGTCAATGCTATCAACTGGTTTTCCTTCGATAGAAAACTTTGAATCAGACTGTATGATCTCGTTGAATTGTCTTGAGATGACGTGTTGGGAATTGGCGCTATATAAATAACTGAATTGGAATTTAATTGAATTTAACCTCATGCAGTTCTAGTGGTTCAAGTGAATGTTCTTCAGATAAATTGTACAGAAAATCTTGAAGAGCACATAAAGCAATTGACTTAGAGTTGTACTCCATGCATGCATGCTGTCAACATCAGAAAAAGGTGGCTTTGGTAACGGGTTAGGGTTGATAGTTATAGTGGCATGTGCGTTATGTGTTAGAACTGGTCTTACCATTTAAAATGTATAAAACACTTTGCTCTATATCCCTAGTCGAAATGACCTGGGACTAGTTAGTATGGTGCCGTCTGTAGATTTCAGTAGTGCGTATCACATCAGATGCAGCCGCCAGTTGATACTGAATTTTTTTTTTCTTGCATTTGCTCATCCATTCGCTGGTTTATTAGATCTGTGTGGCATTTATCATCGTATGAAAACAGAGGAATAAACAGTAATCTCTGTATCACAGATGTGGGCCCCCAGAAAAATCAGAAACTCTTATCTAGCATTGATAAGCCTGACATCCAATAATCTTCTTCGTGTCAGCCTTAAACAACCTTTATCAATCAATCTCTGTTTACAAGGGAAAGTGACAAAAAGGGATTTGAAGATAAAACGTTTACCTTTAGATTCTGTTTGGGAGAAAAAAGATAGCTGTAAGATTGGGTTGGTTTTATTTTTTCATCTTGTTTGTACATTTATGGGTCATAGACTTAAAGATGATCATTTTCTGGAGGGTTTCTGTAAGGCTGGCCAAAAGGAAGCAACTGAATGTAAAATTGCAGAAGAGCGCAGAGATTGAACCTTGAGGTATCCCATGAATGAACTGAGAAGATTATGTTTGCTGTTTAAAATTCAACAAAAGGTCATGTAAGATGTTTCGATAGTGACAGCGGCAGTGGAAGTTTATTCCTAAATTATAGTGTCGAAGATGCTTTTTTCCTGAATATTTTTTTTTTCTTTATGCAGCATTTATTTCCATTTACTGTGATGCCTTGTAAATGGTTCATTGTACCATTCCTTTCCCCCACCACAGTTTTGCAAAGCCAACAGTATGGAGTACCTAACGGGCCGTGTCTGGATCGGCTTTTGGCTCATTATCATCGTCGTCATTACAGTGGCCTTTGAAGGCAGCTTCCTGGTGCGCTTCGTCTCCCGCTTCACCCAGGAAATCTTCTCCTTCCTCATCTCCCTCATCTTCATCTGCGAGACCTTCATCAAGCTAGGCAGGGTAAGCTTTAGATTTGAAATTACAAACGTTTCAGCATGCGGCAGGATTGCGTAACAGACGTTAAATCGAACTGACTAATCTTTGGACGGCACTCAAAACATGGGGTCAAAATGAGAATGTTTTTCTAACAAGAGCTTCTGAAATCTTTTATGACTGATTTACTTTGAAAGAATAATAAGCTGAAGGTTACATTTTTAGAGGCTTGTGATGTAGGAAGATTTGATTATTTTTAGAGTTCTGTGGCATAGGTCCTGAAGCTTGATGTTTTCTGATGGATGTAACCACTTAATGTTTTTATTAAGGTTATGTTGCTTAAACCAGGATATTTTATGTTCAGATATTCAAGGAGCATCCTCTGAAACGCTGCTCCATCAACACCACCTTAGATGGACAGATGTCTGCAGAAAACATCAGCACGATGCACAACAGCAGCACCAATGTCGTCACGGTCACTGGAGAGCCCAACACCGCTCTGCTCTCTCTGGTCCTCATGGCCGGCACGTTTTTCATCGCTTATTACCTGCGCAAGTTCAAGAACAGCGCCTTTTTCCCCGGCAGGGTGAGCATGTATGATTTTATGCAGTGAAAGTAATCGACCGGACAGGGGAAAGGGGGACAGTAAAATTAAGGTTTTTCCAAAATGTAAAGCTTTAAACCTCTAGAGATCATGGATACATTAAAAAGGCCCAACTAAAATTATTTTAGACCTTTAATTATTTTTTCTTGTCAAATATAATCTGAAAATAATTAATTTTTTTTTTAAAGGAATAATTTATTTCCGATTTTCCGTAATCCTCACAGGGCCAGACTCTAAAAGGTCTAAATACATGATGAGCCCAGCTAACAGTCAGCTAAATGTTCCTCATTAAGTTGGACTTATGGGACTCTTATAGCCATCAGAATGGTTCTTGGGTTACTCTGTTTTTTGGCTGGGGGGGGGGGGGGGGGGGGGGTTGGCTTCTCTTCTGACAGATATAAACCTGGTCTATACATTTGCAAGAAGGTTGAGTTCTGAACTATGTCATCAGTCTGCTTGATCCATTGCAACATCTTTTTACCAGTTGGACCATAATATGTTCACAAGCTTGCTGTTTGGAGTAAAAATAAAAAAATATATATCCTCCAACCAGGCTGTGTCCGAACATCTGCCCTAACGCCTGGATCACTATATAGAACGGGTCTATATAGTAGAGTTTATAGTGAAATCCATTAACTGACCGTTTCGACAGATGATCAGTTCTTTTCCCTTCCTGTTGGTCACGTAACTCCGCTTCCCCACAGGGTACCTGCGCCGTCTTTATTTGTCGCTGCTGTCACAACAAATCCCATGATGCTTTGCAAGGAGAGTTCTCCAGGCAAAGCATTCCGGGATATATTTGCTTGCTTAGTGACAATGGATGATCACTACTTTTCAAGGTGCATTATGGGAAGTTTCTGGTCCAATACTTTTTCATCCAGTAGACGTTCGGACACTCATTTAAAATGGCCTAATCACTATATAGTGGCCTTTATAGTGATTAAGGCGGAGCCTCTGTGTGTTTAATGTACTTGCTAGCCCCTCACTGTGGTTGTGTGCATAAATATGGGATTTAATGAAAAATATAAATTCAATTTCAAGTTTAACAGCAAATGGATGAAAGAGTTCCTTTGGGTTTTTTAGTTGGTTGAACCGTGAGGAAGACGATGTAATTTGGTTAATATTTCTAACTCTTTTTTTGTTTTCAACCAGCCTGAACTTTGTTTTCTAGTTTCGTAGGGTTATTGGAGACTTTGGTGTCCCCATTGCAATCCTCGTCATGGTTCTGGTGGACTACAGCATAGAGGACACATACACTCAGGTTGGTTTCAGAGGATCCGTTGTTGCCTGTTTATCTGAATAGCAGTCATGCTCAGAGCTGTCTTTGTTCCTATTCAGAAACTGAGCGTTCCCAAGGGTTTCTCTGTGACGAGTCCCGACAAACGAGGCTGGATTATCAATCCTTTGGGCTCGGACGGTGAATTTCCCATCTGGATGATGTTCGCCTGCTGCTTTCCTGCTCTGCTGGTGTTCATCCTCATCTTCATGGAGACTCAGATCACTACGTGAGTAACACTGCTGACAGATGTTTATTTTGATCCTTGCTGGTAAATTATTAACTAAAACTGATCCTAAAGAGACTTGACGCTTAGGTAGCGCTGATAAAAAAAACCCAAAAAAAACAAGGACTTGCTGTACTCCTGAGTCAGAGGAGTCAATACATGGACATAACTACTCTTTTCTGTTTCCTTAAGCCCATGTCCTTGCCTTATCTTTCCTTCTTTTCTTGTCCTTGCCTATCTCTTTGTCCTGTTAATCCATTCTTTTTCTCTTTATGCATTTTCTTTTACCCTCAGCCATCCCTCTATCATTCCACCTATGTGTCCCATCTTTGATTCCTAATGGTTTTCTTCATATTTTTAATTTTTTTTATTTCTTTCCTTTCTCTTTCCATCCTCCATATTTAAATCTACCTGCCGCATAAATACTAGCTTTACGTTAGTAGTAAATCTCTCTTCTTCATTACAAATATTAACTTGAAGGACCAAGAACTCTCAAAAGTGAACCTGTAAACGTGCAATTTTAACATATGCTGTTGGAACCCTTGGATAAATGTTTTAAATCTTAGTGAAACATTGGAGTATTTTTTCTTGTTTTTTTTGTTGTTGTTGTTTTATCTAAACTGAAAGATCCTTCTTGATATTATACAAACATTTGTTTGTATAAAATGGCAGCACTGATCTAAAAAGTCAAACAAGTAGAGGAGAAGTTAAATTTAGGAAAATTAAAACCTACCAATAATTACCAGCTGTATTTTTAGATAGATGCATTTTATTTCATTTAGTATTGTGCTGCCTAAAGTGTGTTAATCAAAGCAAATCGCTGCAGAAGATGCTTTCTGCCTATAGCTATCAACACCTACAACAACTTGTTGAAAAACTGCCCATGAGTTACTGAAACATATTATTTCCCTTTTGGATTAACTAAGTATTTATGAATTTGAACCAAGTATTAGCTCAAAGGTATTGTGAATTTTTTAAAAATCCCACCCTCTCCACTTAAAAAAAAAAAAAAGAAAAGAAGCACAACCCTGTTGTGCTTTTTACCATAAATAATAAATTATGAACAGTTCAGTGTGTGCCTTCAAGTCATTCGCCCATAGGAAGACGTTACCTGGATATAATGAAATATCTTAAGAACAGCTCCAAATGACACAAAAATAATATGGGTGAGTAGAACATGATGTAATAACGTAAAATCAAGGGCCCAATATAAAAGAAACGGCATTCCCCTTTTAGGGCCCAGTGTAAAAAAAAAAAAAATAGCGTTTCCTTTTAAGGAAATTACATAGAAAAGTACGTCTGCATCAGTAATAAGTCAAAGTAAGGAAAAATCAAGCTGTGCTATTTTCCCTCCTGCAGGCTCATTGTCAGCAAGAAGGAGCGGATGTTGGTGAAGGGTTCTGGTTTCCACCTGGACCTCCTGCTGATCGTGGTTCTCGGCGGCTGCTCAGCTCTGTTCGGGCTCCCGTGGATGGCTGCCGCCACCGTTCGCTCAGTGACCCATGTCAACGCCCTCACTGTGATGAGCAAAGCTGTCGCCCCTGGAGACAAGCCCCGCATCCAGGAGGTGAAGGAGCAGAGGGTCACCGGGCTCCTAGTTGCTGTCCTGGTTGGTAAGTGTCACCTACTGGGATGTATGTAGTCCCATTAAAGCCCTTTGTGTGTCTTTTGCTGATATTCATTCTAGTTTTTCTGTGTTTCTAGGTTTGTCCATTGTGATTGGGGAGCTGCTGCGTCAAATCCCCCTGGCTGTGTTGTTTGGTATCTTTCTCTACATGGGAGTAATGTCACTTAACGGCATCCAGCTAACAGAGCGAATGATGCTGCTCCTCATGCCCCCAAAGTATCACCCTGACCACACTTACGTACGCAAGGTAAGAGGAGTGGAGGACTGAGAATTGCTACTGTTCAGAGGTGTGAGTTTACATGTCTGATGGCTTGATATGTGTCCCCCAGGTTCGTACATGGCGCATGCATCTGTTCACCTGCATCCAGATGGTCTGTCTAGTTGTCCTGTGGTCCGTTATGTCCACCCAGGCGTCTCTGGCTTTCCCATTCGTCCTCATCCTCACAGTCCCTGTCAAAATGTTCGTGCTGCCTCGCGTCTTCAATGAAAGAGAGATGGCTTGTGTAAGTTACCCACTGGGGGAGCTGTGAGTTGTTCAGCCACCTGTACCGCTGCATAATGCAGACCCTGTGCTTGGCCATCTCAGTGAGAGTGTGTTTGTTATCAGCTTTATAGATGGTGTTTTTAATAGGAAAAACTCTACGGTATTTGTTGTAAATTCTATGTTCTTTTATGAATATTTATTGTAATCCTCTTAAAATAAGGATCTGAGATCTGAGCAGATTTCCAGAGCTTAACAAATACGTAACAGTTATTTTTTATTTATAATGCCCTCAGCTTCTGAAACAAATCAAGCCACAAAATGTTTAAAATGAAAAATGGTTGCATCAAACATTAAGACCCAGGAGGTAAAAGCTCAGATTTACTTTAACTTGGGCTGCATTCAGGCAGAATGTCAAAAAGGCGTCCCATTGGCTCAACTAGGACTGAAGTCAAGGTACTTTAATGGAAAAATATCAAGATATATATGCAAACAAATAGGTAGAAGTTTTTAGTGCAAGATTAAAAAGCTGCAATTAGATATAAAGTTTTTTTTTTACATGATATTTATATATTTCTGCTTAAAATAAATGTACCATATTTCTTACTGTAAAATCTGTCTTCCCCTTTCTCTCTTTTCTCAGCTGGATGGCGACGATGCGGAACCAAAGTTTGACGAGCGTGACTGTCACGATGAGTACTCTGAGATGCACATGCCCGTGTAGCTATGCTGCCATGCCTCCCATCATCACTAAACTCCACTCAGAACCAGTGGACTCTGGGTCAGAATCTGCAAAGTAAACATCGCTGGGCAACAATATCGTTGCTTACGCCTTTTTTAATATATTGTGTGCTGGATAGCGTCAGATTTCTGTAGCGCTACAAAACAGTGAAAGAGTGACAAAGTGAAGAGATTTAGCTTTTTTTCATTACATTTTGTTTTATTTATTTCAGGGGACAGAAGATTTCTAATTAAATAAAGCTAAAAATGTTGACATAGCAGTAGATGTATGCGCAAAAATTATTACCTTTTAGCCCTGAAAGGTTGCTATGATTCACATTGAATATGTGGAAAATATCTAGGATACATTCCTTTATATTAACATGTTGTTAGTTTTTCACATGTTTTTCTTTCTTTCAAATCCACTAAGCGCCTTATGAAGGAAACGATATACTGAGCTGTTTTTTCCTCCTCATTCTGTCTTATTATAGACAGTCAATCACTTTAAACATGAAGGTTGTAGCACTTTTTATAAGAAACCAAATCTTAACTGTTTGACTATTTTATTTTAGTGTTCTTGAAAACCTCTGGAATAATATCGCTTTAGGTGAAGAATTTTACTTCATTTTTTAATTTATGAGTTATTTTAAAACGGATGCTGCAGTTTAAATCATCTGATTCAGTGCGTGCAGTGACGCAAGATCACCAGCAGAGGGGGATCTTGGGTTATTCACCCCAAAAAAAATGCAGTTTTATTGTTGTATGAATGCCACATATTCTTGTTTCTCATCATGCAGAGTTAATTTTTGTTATTTAAATGGCACGGAGGTTTCACAAACACACTCTAATCATCTCAATGCACATGTACAGGACACTAATGTTCGAATATTTTCTGTTTTACACTCGGTGAGTTGGTTTCTGGGAAAATGCTGTTAATTTATTACTACTTGTCCAAGTGCCAAATATCTACTGTGTGTGTGTAGTGGTCAGAAGAATAAGCTGTAGCAGGTTGGTCGTCTTCTGATTGTCAACGCTTTTACCCATTTTAACTCTAAAACATTCCAGATTTTAACTTTGATTTATTTATGGTTTTATCATTTTCAGTTTCAGCCATATTTCCAAGTAGACAGTGCAGAAAATGCCAATGATCGAACTCTGTGATGAAAGGCTTTAAAACGATGTACTTTATAAAACGGTTTCCATCAGTGTAACCTGGATGGGTTAAAGTTTTGACAGAGGCAAATATTTTAACCCTTCCTGACTTCTGTTACAGCCACACATGCGTGTCAGACACTACGGCAGGGGGTGGGGCGAGTATGCATTTTTAAAATGGGAAATGTTACAGTGTTCTGCACTTTGAAATCAGACATCTGAATTATGCATATGTGGCATCACTGCTATGTGGCTAAAGAGTACTACAGAGGTTTTTATCTGCTTTTAAAGTATGCAAACACTCAGCTGCGCTTTATCCATAATTAATTAGATGTGGCAGATTTTGTGCAGTGTTTCAAATCAGTGTGCCTTTCTAGCTCTGAATTTTGTGATCAAGTCTTTTGAGATGTTTAGATTTGTTGTTATTGCAATGTCAAATCAGTGAGGCTGTTGCTGATCTGTGAATCCATGGTTAAGATACTGATGACAAATAAAAAGTATTTTCTATTTATCTGGTCTGTTTTTTTTTTTTTTTTGTTTGAGAAATTACTTTTCAGCTTTTCTGTGCACAAATTGCCTGTATTAAAGTGAAAATATGGTATAAATATATTAAAATCTAATTCAAACCAGTAGTGTAATTACACCCACCAGTTTTGACTGTGTGTCAATACAATCTGTTTTTTTTTTTTTCTCTCCTATTTTTTCCTGAAGATCTTGCATTGTCAGGTCAATCCCGCAGCTTGGGTAGACTGATGTTTGTAGAGTCACTCCAACAGTGTTAAAAACAATATGTAGGTGTTCTTGAAAAAAATCTCTAATTGGTGCAGGTTGTCTTTCATGTATGCTTTAAGGACCTCACAGCCTGATGCTACCGCCATCGTGCTTTAAATGAAGAATGGGGTGAAAGGCATGATAATCAGATTTCAGGCCTTAAAGCTGATGCTTAATCAGAGCGGAAAATGATGATCCACGATGTTTAAGCAAAGTTAAAATTGTCAAACATGCTTTTCAGTGAAGGGTGTTTCCATCACCTTATTCTACCAGGAGTGTGTTACAGGAGAAAGTTCATGGGGGAGAGGATATTCCAAGGTGCTGTAACAAAGGATTTCCTGCCCTGTATTTGGAAATGTAATTCATCGTTTTTATGTATTTTTATACATTTGCATGTACAGGGAAGATAATTATTTGAACACCCTACTATTTTGCAAGTACTTCCACTTAGAAATCATGGAGGGTCTGAAAGTTTTGTTGTAGGTGCATTTCCACTTTGAGAAACATATTAATAAAAAAAATAAATAAATCAATGTTTCATTTTCTTAACTATTTGTACGATACAGCTGCAAATAAGCATGTGAATACCTGAGAAAATCTATCTTAACCCTTTGTAGGGCACTTTGTGAAATACTTTGAAAATCCAAATATCAAGTCAATAGTGTTATTGAAATCCAGGATAATACCCTATTACCACTTGTACCATTCAAAAATATGGATATTTGGATGGGAAAAAATGTCAGTGTAATAAACGCCAGCTTGCTCGAATAAATATAAGAAAAATAACAAAAGTGCTTATATAAGAAATTCATGAAAAACACTGCGAAAGAAACGCATTTTTTTTTTGTACAACATAACCTTAAAGGCATTAATGCTGATACTGGCACATACATTTTTTAGTTCATAAACCTTAATATAATTGGTAACTAGGCTTATTAACTTTAGCTTTTCAATCAGCTTTTTACATTTTTCTTAACTTTTTCAGCTTAATTTACAGTAGGTAATATATAATTCACGGGTTCATCTAATTGGTCAAATGCTAAAATAAGATGTACAGCCATGTAGCAGTATCTTTGCTGAATGGCTGATATAGATCTTGTGCTTCTAGACCTCACTGAGGGATGGGGGTGTATGTCATCATGTTAAGATTGGACTCGCTTGATGAGATGAAGTCTAGTGTGCGATTGCTTGGTTGGAAAGAAAACCTGCAGCCACACGGCCCTTTCTGGAACGAGTTTGACACCCCTGCTCTAAGGGAAGGAGGTTGTTCCCCAAAATCTCACAATACATGGTCCCAGTCATCCTTTCCTTAATACAGTGCAGTCGCCCTATCCCATATGCAGAAAAACACCTCATGCTTCACAGTAGGGATGGTGTTCTTGGGATGGTACTCATCATTCTTCTTCCTCCAAACACTGTTAATGGAATTATGAACTAAAAGTTCTATTTTGATCTCATCTGGCCACATAGCTTTCTCCCATGACTCCTTTGGATCTTCCAAATGGTCACTGACAAACTTAAGGTGGGCCTTGAGATGTGCTGGTTTACGCATGGGAACGTTCTGTGCCATACATGATGGCGTCTTGTGTATTACCGATAGTAATCCTCTCGTGTAGTTCTGGACTAATTTCTCACCTTTCTTAGGATCATTGAGACCCCACGAGCTGATATCTTGCATGAATCCCCAGTCCGACGGAGACTGACAGCCATGTTCAGCTTATTCCATTTTCTAATGATTGCTCCAACAGAGGACCTTTTTTCACCAAGCTGCTTGGTGATTTCCCCCGTAGCCCTTTCCAGCCTTGTGGAGGATGTACAATTTTGTCTGTAGTGTCTTTAGACAGCTCTTCGGTCTTGGTCATGTTAATAGCTGGATTCTTACTGATTATATTGGGTAAACAGATGTCTTTATGCAGCTAACGACCCCAAACAGGTGCATCTAATTTAAGATATTATATATAAATAGAGAGAATGTATATATACACACACACACACAATATCACCATGTCCCTCAAATATTTTTCACAAACCAGTATAAATCTGTGATAGTGAGCACTTCTCCGTTGCTGAGCTAATCCATCCCACCTCACAGATGTGCCATATCAATAGTGTGTCAGACTGCCCACAATAAAAGGCCACTCTGATTGTTGCAGTTTTATCAAAGAGCAGAATGCCACAGATGTCTCCGGATTTGAGATTTGATTGATCAGGTTGTCTATGGTGACCTGTGGAATGTTGGTCCACTCCTCTTCAATGGCCGTGCAAAGTCTCTGGATGTAGCAGTAGCTGGTCATATATGCCAATCCAGAGCATTCCAAACATTCTCAATGGATGACATGTCTGGTGAGTAATGCAAGAACTGGGACATTTTCAGCTTCCAAGAATTGTGTACCCAAGAATTGTACCAAGAATTGTGCCCTTGCAACATGGGGCCATGAATAATCCTGTTGCAACATGAGGTGGTGATGTTGGATGTATGGCGCAACAATGGGCCTTGGGATCTTGTCAGGGTATTTCTGTGCATTCAAAATTCCATCAATAAAATGCACCTGTGTTCTTCGTCCGTAACAGACGCCTGCCCATACCATAACCACGGCGCCATCATTAGCCACTGGATCCACAACACTGACATCAGAAAACCGCTCATCCACACAACGGCACACACGCTGTCTGACATCTGCCCTGAACAGTGTAAACTGGGAATCATCTGTGAAGAGAACGACTCTCCAATGTGCTAGATGCCAACTAATGTGAGCATTTGCCCACTCATGTCGGTTACAACAACGAACTGGAGTCAGGTGTAGACCTCCATGAGTGCAACGAACATGAATGGATTGTCACAATAAAGGAGAAGTGCTTCCTATCACAGATTTAGACTAGTTTGTAAACAATATTTGAGAGAAATGGTGGTATTGTTGATGGGGAAAAAGTGTAAGACCTTGGACTTCATCTAATAAACAATGAGAGCAAAACCAAGTGTTACCTTTACATTTTTGTTAAAATATGTGTACAGGTGCTGGTCATAAAATTAGAATATCATGAAAAAGTAGATTGATTTCAGTAATTCCATTTAAAAAGTGAAACTTGTATATTATATTCATACATTACATACAAACTCATATATTTCGGATGTTTATTTTGTTTAATTTTGATGATTACAAATGACAACAAATGAAAATCTCAAATTCATCATATCAGAAAATTAGAATATTGTGAAAAGGTTCAAAATTGATGGCCTCTGGTGCCACACTCTAATCAGCTAATTAACTCAAACCACCTGCAAAAGCCTTTAAATGGTCTTTCAGTCTAGTTCTATAGGCTACACAATCATGGGGAAGACTGCTGACTTGACAGTTGTCCAAAAGACGACCATCGACACCTTGCACAAGGAGGGCAAGACACAAAAGGTCATCGCTAAAGAGGCTGGCTGTTCACAGAGCTCAGTGTCCAAGCACATTAATAGAGAGGCGAAGGGAAGGAAAAGATGTGGTCGAAAAAAGTGTACAAGCAAGAGAGATAACCGCACCCTGGAGAGGATTGTGAAACAAAACCCATTCAAAAATGTGGGGGAGATTCACAAAGAGTGGACTGCAGCTGGAGTGAGTGCTTCAAGAACCACCACACACAGACGTATGAAAGACATGGGTTTCTGCTGTCGCATTCCTTGTGTCAAGCCACTCTTGAACCACAGACAGCGTCAGAAGCGTCTTGCCTGGGCTAAAGAGAAACAGGACTGGACTGCTGGTGAGTGGTCCAAAGTCATGTTCTCTGATGAAAGTACATTTTGCATTTCCTTTGGAAATCAAGGTCCCAGAGTCTGGAGGAAAAGAAGAGAGGCACTTCATCCACGTTGCTTGAAGTCCAGTGTAAAGTTTCCACAGTCAGTGATGGTTTGGGGTGCCATGTCATCTGCTGGTGTTGGTCCATTGTGTTTTCTGAGGTCCAGGGTCAACGCAGCCACATACCAGGAAGTTTTAGAGCACTTCATGCTTCCTGCAGCTGACCAACTTTTTGGAGATGCAGATTTCATTTTCCAACAGGACTTGGCACCTGCACACAGTGCCAAAGCTACCAGTACCTGGTTGAAGGAACATGGTATCCCTGTTCTTAATTGGCCAGCAAACTCTCCTGACCTTAACCCCATAGAAAATCTATGGGGTATTGTGAGGAAGAAGATGCAATACACCAGACCCAACAATTCAGAAGAGCTAAAAGCCACTATTAGAGCAACCTGGGCTATCATAACACCTGAGCAGTGCCACAGACTGATCGACTCCATGCCACGCCGCATTGCTGCAGTAATACAGGCCAAAGGAGGCCCAACTAAATACTGAGTGCTGTACATGCTCATACTTTTCATGTTCATACTTTTCAGTTGGCCAACATTTCTATAAATCCTTTGTTTTTATTGGTCTTCAGTAATATTCTAATTTTCTGATATGATGAATTTGAGATTTTCATTTGTTGTCATTTGTAATCATCAAAATTAAACAAAATAAACATCTGAAATATATGAGTTTGTATGTAATGTATGAATATAATATACAAGTTTCACTTTTTAAATGGAATTACTGAAATCAATCTACTTTTTCATGATATTCTAATTTTATGACCAGCACCTGTATATATATATATATATAATCTTTTTTTAAACAACCAATAAAAAAAGAATGGCTTGGTGTGTTGGCTCCGCTCCACAAGTGACTTGCTGTGGGTTTAAGCAGGAAATCACCAAATATAATATTTATTTGTTCACTTAATGAAAAGTTTCAGTAAATATATTTAGCATTCTGTGATTATTATTTATTAATTACTATGATTTTTCTTCTTTTTTTTTTTGCCTTTGTGCACAAGTAAAACTTTTGGTTCTTACCTTAAACCACTTAAAATAACTTCCACTAGAAATGAAGAAAAATCTGTAAAAATAAATCAGAGCTATTAGTAACTTTTTAAAAATTGGTGTGATTTTTCACAACAGAACAACCTTTAAAAAAGGGCGCGTATGGACCATAGCAACAAAGGATGGTTGCGATACGGGATTTTTGTCCAATCAGAAACAATCTAGTGATGACACTCATACCACACATGCTCAGTTGAATGCAACCCTTGAAGAGAAAAAGCAAGAAGATTCAAGAGCTCCAGGATTTATTAGAGGAAAAAAAGTGTGATTAAGGTATGAAAGTTTTTTGATGTTTCTTTTGCTAGAGCTTTTTTGCTTTGTTTTACTGCTGTCACAGTTTTTTATTATTTAAATCAAACCTATGTAGTTTAAATAATTTTACTTTTACCTAATGCAATTAGCATGTATCAAGATCACCTAGATAAATAGGGCATGAGGTTTTATCACAGCTCACAGGAAGGCGGGCTGTGGTAACAGCTGTCCCCGTGAGTATAAAATAGACCGTCTCATAGTATTCTTAACATCTTTTTAATAATTTTTAGTTCTATATAATGCTGCTAATCATGAGCAGAGTTATATGTGCACGTGTTCATGTTTGCATTTTTACAATCGTGTTTGTTAGAGCAGTGTTTTTCAACCTTTTTTGAGCCGTAGCACAATTTTTACTTTTAACAAAATACTTGGGCAAACCACCAACCAAAGTGATGCTCTAACATAGTACATATTACAAATATAGTTAATAATATAGTTTCTAATATATTTATACTCCCTGTGAACCCTTCACAGTAAATGTTGCAGTGTTAAAGATTTACTTTAACATGGCAACATTTACTGTGTGGGCCTGTTTCCCATTGCCATTACATAGATTAAAGGCATGTCTGTAATCATGCCTGTAATAGGGAACAAAGTCAAAATAGCTTTGTTAGGCAGAGTTAGGAACTCCTTGGCAACAGATAACTGAAACCTGTCCTAAGGAAGATCAGCAAAGTTTATCTTTAAACCACGATCTTGTTTCAGTTCAGTGAGTTTCTTTCTCCTTTAAAGTTATTTTCTTTCCAGCAACAGATTCTGAGCCGTATGGTTCCCTAACCCAGTCACGGGATTATGCGAAAGCTGAAGGGAAATAAAATGACAACCTCTCAAGTGTTTTCAAATGTGTGCCAGTCACCTTGCACATTGCAGCAGTGTTGCTATCTTGCAAATTCTAGGTGAACACGCTGCACCTTTTAACGGAACCCGTTCTTTTTATCAGCCCTTGTAAGCAGGTTTTCATTTCGGCCTTGCATCTGTGTGTTCAGGTCATTCAGATAATTAAATATATCAACCAGGTATGCCATCTTTGCACACCACTCATCACTTGCAAGCAGCTTTGAGCAATCGGACCCCTCATTTGTCAAAAATTGGTGTCGGCCAAGTGGTTAGAGAAGTGCACTTGTGCTTTGAGAAGGTTGCAAACTTCAATCCCCACAGCCTGCACTCTGGGTTCCTGAGCAGAACCCTTATCCCATGACTGCTCCCTGGGTGCAACACAATGGCAGCCCACTGCTCCCCAAGGGGATGGGATAAATTGCGCCTTCACAAAGTTCACTATGCAAACAACATAATCCAACACAGGCAGTCTAGCTATCTATTTGGCCACGTCCAGCCAAGCATCTCATTTAAAATGGCTTCATAAGATGGCAGTATTAATGTTTCTGCCACAGCTAGGAGCTAAGCTACAAAGTAGCTAGCTTTGAGGGCTGTCTCATTTACCTTTGTAGTCTTTCTCCAAAATGTTACCTGATTCTCATTATCAGTATGTAAGCGTACAAAATGGTCCATTGGCTTGTTCTGAATGGAAAGGTGTTTCATTTGGAGATGGTGCCACGGCACTATTGGATAGTTTCACACAACACACTAAGCACACTGTGTTAGAGAATATAGTGATTGTGTGCATGTATGGTTGTTTGTCCTGTTTGTCTCTGTGTTGCCCTGCGATGGACTGGCCACCTGTCCAGGGTGTACCCCGCCTCTCACCCATTGCCCGCTGGAGATAGGCACCAGCACCCCTCGCGTCCTATCTTAGGTTAAGCATGACAGAAAATGGATGGATGGATGGATGGTCTACATACAGTATAAGCAAATTCATATTCAATTAAGTTTATTGAAACAGTTCAATCAAGATCAGACACATTGGTTAAAGGTTTTCTATCTCATCTCTGTCTCACTCTTTTTAGAATGCCCAGGGTGAGAAGGAGGGTCACAGACAGAGGATTCCCATTTCATATTTTGGTGAAAGCCTCCAACGTCATCAGGGATGAAGGCACAGCGGTTAGGGCAGTGGCTAGAGACTTTGGGATCTGTCACACCACACTGTACAGGTTTCACAAAAAGAGAGAGAGACTACAAGAAGAAGGACATAAATTACCAGCTGTTGGCTACTGGAGCAGCAGGAGAGTGTTTACAAATGAACAAGAGGAGAAGGTCGGGCTGTATTTAAAAGAGGCAGCTGACCTTTACTTTGGATTATGTCCCAAACAGGTAAGAGACAAGGGAAAAACTGTTTTATAAAGTCGATATGAGAAAAAGGTCTGAGAACAAAGAGGGAAGAAGAGGCTAGAATTAGACTTAAAGATAATGAGTAGGATAGTATTAAACACTTGAACTTTTTAATTTCAGGTTAGGAGGTTTGCTTATCAGCTGGCCATTCACTATGGGTGCAAATTCCCTGAGCAGTGGAGAGAAAAGGCTATGGCTGGTGAAGACTGGTTCTCTGGTTTTATGAAGAGGAACAATGGCCTCTCAATTAGACGGCCACATGTCTCAAGTCTGTCAAGAGCCTCCAGCTTCCACCAGGCCAATGTGGACAAATTCTTTGACAATCTCAGCAAAGTTCTTGAGAAGCACGGGTTTGCACCTCAGGACATTTGGAACGTTGATGAATTGGGCATAACAGCTCAGACCCCCGATAAGGGTTTGCTCAGGCGTGGAGAGGAGCAGGTGGGGGCTCTTACCTCAACTGAGCGAAGCACACTGGTCACAATCACTTTCTCAGGGAATGTGATTGGAAATACATTACCACCAATGTTTATTTTCCCAACGATCCATTTCAAGCCCCACTTTATCCGTTATAGAGCGACAGGCTGTATAGGAACAGCCAATCACACTGGATGGATGCAGGAGGCTGACTTCCTTGTGTTCTTGAAACACTTCCAGATGCACACTTGTAGCTCCCCAGAGTCTAAAGTTCTGCTGATTTTGGAAAATCACCCTTCGCACCTTTCCATTGAGAGTTTAAACTACTGCCATAGCAAAGGTATTGTGCTGCTGTCATTGCCGCCACATAGTTTTCATAAACTGCAACCTCTTTACAGGACTGTGTATGGGCAAATGAAAAAGGCAATGATGGTGGCCTATGAATCATGGATAAAAAGTCATCCTGGCATGATGATGACCATCTATGACATCCCAAGCATTGTCAAGGAGTCTCTCCGTGTTTCTGCAACGCCATCAAATTTGCAGGAGGGGTTCCGCTGCACAGGGATCTGGCCATTCAGCAGGGATGTTTTCAAAGAACCTGAATGTTCTCCTCCCCTGGTGAACAATCAATCTCTATTCTTTAACTCTGGGTCTACATCAGCGGCACCTGTGGCCTCCACATCACCACCACTAGCTGTATCTGCTCCTGCACCCTCAATGACTCCTTCTCCAGCCTCATCTGTAGCCTCCACATCTTACCCAGTCCTTAACTACTTACTGTTCTACAGTGGATGTCTGGCCACATGCAAAAGCAGGCTGCAGAAAGATGAACACGAAGGGCAAGAAATGGCGATCCACTGCCCTTCTGACTAACACACCAGAAGAAGAGGCAAATGTACAACATTTATCTCAAGAAGGCTAAAAAAAAGAAAAAAGCTGAAGAAAATATTACTGAATCAGAAGAAGAGGAAGACAGGACTTTGTCTCATTTTTTCAAAATGAAGGGAAGTCTGGTTCCAGTGCTGGAGCTGTAAATCTTGGACACATGAGGAGGTGATGTGTACAAATCTGACTGACTGGCTCATTATCATTAAAACTTTAGTTTCAGTTTGGATGTTTTTTTTTTTAACGGCACTAGGGGCTGGTTTTTCTGACAGTAGGCTGACAGGAAAGGGGGTATGAGAGAGGAGGTAGAGACATGCAGCAAAGGACCACAGGCCGGATTCAAACCCGGATCGGGGACTACATGGGTCGTGTGCAATAACCACTGCGTCAGCTGCACACCCACAAAAAGATACTTTTAACAGTTGCAAAATTTCATCTGTATAAAGTACATCATATATTCATGTTGACATTTTTTTACTATTCTTTTGCGAAAATGATGATAATCTTTACAGAAAGTTTTGACTAGATATAAAGTGGGATCGTTTTTAAGCTGCATTTTTAAAAGATTATGGATATTATTTTGTTAAATAAAAGTTTTATAAGTAGATATTACAGTTTCTACTGTTAAGTCTTTCGTTTTCTTTTGCAATCGTTTTGGAAGTCCAGTTTTTTTTTTCAACAACCGGTAATGCATAATGAATGCATGTAACAACAATTGATCAAATTTATTCGGCTCACAAAATGTTCCACTCTTCCTATATTAGTTGTGTTTCCATTGACGACAACGGATATAAAATCATTGAACAGAAACAATTTTTGATACGTTTTTGTGTTGAGGTTGAGATAATTTTTCTGGCCATATTAAAATTAATTTTTTTCACAAAACTGCTAATGGAAATGTCTTTAACTTTTTTATTTTGCATCACATTCATGTGATCAGAGAGCAAACAAATATTACTGATGTTTAAAAATAAACAGGAAGTGGTTGAAGGATGATGGTTTTGCATGTTTATGTGAACAAACTTATTCACATGATAACTCAATTTCTTGTATAATTGAAACCAACAACAGCAGAATTATATATTTTTTTTTACATTAGCAGAATATAAAAGGTTTGTACAGTTTTTAACTGGAAACACAGCTGCTAAAAGCCTGTGCTCTACTTCAGTTTGGATGTTTGACATGCACATATAATTCCAATTTATCCAGGCAAATATGTAATTGTCATTTGATTTAAGTTGACAAATACCTAAATAAGACATTTCTGATTTAAAAAAAAAAGTAAAATGTACAATAAATAAATTGTGAATTACATTGTATTTCAAGATGTGGCTGTCCCTTGGCCCCACTTCTAAATATGCTTTTCCGTAAGCTTTAAATGGTTTGGCTATTTACAGATTTACATATATATATATATATATATATATATATATATATATATATATATATATATATATATATATATATATATATATATATATATATATATATATATATATATATTCCTTTTGTTTAAGGCTTGATTACATAACAGTTTGTTTACAAGACTAAGGGAAACTTTCTAATGTGCAGAATCTGACTGTTGACGGTAAGGAATGTTGTGGATCAACAGGGAGGCATGATCCAGCTCGTAACCCTCAGATTTAATCCAGTAAGAAAAGGAGGCTGGTTGCTCCCCCTCTGTTCAGAAAGTCAGCTGGTCGTGGGTTGGTTGCCTCACTTTCAGTCCCAGTCACACTCAGGCAAACAACCATGGCTGTTTTCCTGCTCTGGCTCTTCAGCCTCGGGTTTCTAGCCTTTCCTTCCTATGCTTCCTACAACAATCTCCCTGAACTCTACAAGAAGGGAGTGGATTTGGCCGTGGAGAAGATCAACTCCCACGCCAGCATCTTGCATCATTTTATCTTCTTCAGGAGTGTGGAAAAGTCAGAATCTGAGGTACATTCCTGTTTTATTTTCAATATATCATAAAATAGAGGCAACTGGAGGCATAATAGAAACAAAATCCCGTGTGGAAAAGTTTTTAAAATGAGGTGATAGAACAGCTCATCATTGTTGCTTCATTTTCTCCTCAGCCCGGCTTTAATGTGAAATACATTTACCACAACTTCCACCTTAAAGCTACAAAGTGCCAGAAAGGAACTGTTGACTCCGCAAGTTGCAAGTTCAGAAAAGACAGGGTAAGCTTTAGGTTTTAATCTTATTTTTTTAATCTTATGTTTAATCTGCATAACTAAAGGAAGGCAAAGCTCAACTGCACAGTGAGATTCATGATGTTCCAGCTGTTATTTAAGTAGAAATCAAGAAAGCTGTGGAATGCGGCTCCAGTGGGGGGGCTGCTCTGACATGCCTCTGCTGTTTTGTTTGTGTGCATTCATGCAGCCGCTCATTGACTGCACAACCTGTTACAAAACCTTCAATGGAGAGATTGAAACAGAACCCAAGCCGTACATCCACTGTGTCCACAGACCAGCTCTGACAGAGGTGTGTCTGACCCTCCTTTACCTTTACTACTGTTCCTTTAATATTTTCATAGCTCTGACCTCCCTTTCCTTCTTTTGTTTCACAGGAAATGAGAACCACCAGAGCTGAACATTGCAATGCTATGGGATATAGCAGTGGAACTCCAACTCTTCTCTTAGTACAAGGAAGCAATTAAGATTTTGAGAAAACAAACTTACTGAGATATATATAGAAATTCATGGATGCCTCACGAGATGTACTGATTTTTTTTCACATCCAGTCCGAATACCCTGTGGATGCATTTTGTGCTGCTTCCTTTTTGATGGTTGATAAGACTAGAAAGGAAATACTTTCAGTTGTCTATGGCTGGACAAATTAAATGTCTCTATTTGTCTGTCTTTGTCTTATTTTGGTTTTACAAGTCTAAAACCTCATGCACTTCCTCTCACAACCACTTACAGACACTGTTTATTAATAGAAAGTAAGTTGAATGATTCAGTATAAGATGAGGAAGATTTGTATGTGTCCACAAAACAGGCTTGAATTGGAAGAATACAGACCTATACAGAAGAATAGACAAAGGCTCCTGCATGTGTCAACATGATTTTAGAAAAACTGGGTGAAAATCTGGTTGCCTCTGTTTTAATCCTGTCTGTTGTTTCCATGACCCCAATGACTGAGAATTTGCACACGTCTCTTTTTTGCGTTTGTGTACATGTGTACTTTTTTATGCCGCCTATTTAGGATATTTTCTGGTATATTCACGAAACTTCTAAAATACACAATAGACCTAATGTGGACCAGAGACTTGTCCTAATGCAGAGAGCCCTATGTTATTTTGAATGTTATTTTGCTCTTTAAGGTGGAAAGTTGCTCCTACAATTTCTTATTCTTCTTTTATTTTTTTTAAATAATTGTGCACTCTTCATGCTTCCATTTGTTGTGACTTTTTTGCTGGCAGACATGATTTCTCACACCTCCCCCTCCATGCTTCATGGTGGGAACCAGGCATGTAGAGTCCATCCATTCACCTTTTCTGCGTCGCCAAAGACACCATGGTTGGAACCAAAGGTCTCAAATTTGGACTCATCAGACCAAAGCCCAGATTTCCACTGATCTAATGTCCATTCTTTGTGTTTTTTAGCCCAAGCAAGTCTCTTCTGCTTGTTGCCTGTCCTTAGCAGTGGTTTCCTAGCAGCTATTTTACCATAAAGGCCTGACTCACACAGTCTCCTCTTAACAGTTGTTTTAGAGATGTATCTGCTGCTAGAGCTCGGTGTGGCATTAACCTGGTCTCTAATCTGAGCTGCTGTTAACCTGCCATTTCGAGGGTTGGAGACTGGGATGAACTTATCCTCCACAGCAGAGGTGATTCTCAGTCTTCCTTTCATGGGGCGGTCCACACATGTGAGCCAGTTTCTTTGTAGCGCTTGATGGTTTTTGCGACTGCACTTGGGGACACTTTCAAAGTGTTGCCAATTTTAGACTTAGACCCAGACAGAGTTTATTTTGTCATTTTGTACATACAAGTGTTAAAAAAAATAAAAATTTGTGAAGTACAGCTCTCTAGACTATTTCATTTTTTAAAGTGCAGTCTTGGAAAGGTAAGCAACAGTGATTACAATATTGTATGAAAAAAAAAGGGATGTAAACATATGACTGTATAGTCTGTCTATCTGTCTGTCAGTCTAATGGCGGTGGGGAAGAAACTGTTCTGGAATCTGCTGGACCTGCATCCAATGCTTCGAAGTCTCTTCCCAGCAGGGAGAACAGTCCATGGTGGGGGTGTGAGGGGTCATTTATAATCTTGCAGGGTCAGGACACACAGCGCTGGAATGAAATGTCTTTAATGGAGGGAAGAGGAGCCCCAATGATCTTCTCTGCTGTTCTTAAAACTCTCCTCACAGTCTTCCAGTCTGAGGCGCTGCAGCCTCCACACCACAGTGAGACAGCTGGTCAGAACGCTCTCTATGGTGCTTCTGTAGAAGGTGGTGAGGATGTGTGGGGGCAGGTGGGCTCTCCTCATCCTCCCCAGGAAGTCCAAGCGCTTTTGTGCCTTTTTGATCAGTGAGGTGGTGTTTACATTCCAGGTGAGGGTGTCTGTAATGTGCAGCCCCAGGAACTTGGTGCTGCTGAGCTGTTAATGAGCAGTGGAGCGTGGTTAGGACGGTTCTTCCTGAAGTCCAAGATGATCTCCTTCATCTTCTCCACGTTCAGGATTAGGCTGTTATCTTTGCACCAGTCCACCAGCTGCCCCATCTCCTCTCTGTAGTCCAGGTCGTTGTCATCTCTGATGAGGCCCACCTCCATGGTGTCGTCTGCAAACTTTACGATGTTATTGGTGGTGAACCTGGGGACGCAGTCATGTTTCATCAGGGTGAACAGCAGGGGGTTCAGGACACAGCCCTGAGGGGATCCTGTGCTTAGACTGATGACATCAGAGGTGTTCGGTCCAACCCGGACTGACTGAGGTCTGTTGGTGAGGAAGTCTAGCAGCCAATTGTGTTGAATCTCAGCTGTTTCAGTTTGCCCATCAGATGCTGTGGGACAATGGTGTTGAAAGCTGAACTGAAGTCCAGGAACAGCATCCATACATGAGTGTTCTTCTCCTCCGGGTGTGCTAAGTTCAGGTGAAGAGCGGAGGAGATGGCCTCCTCATTGGAGCGGTTCCAATGGTAGGCAAACTGGAGTGGGACGAATGTTGACAGCAGACTGGAGACGATGTGTTCTTTAACCAGCCTTTCAAAGCACTTCATTATGATTGGAGTCAGTGCGACGGGACAGTAATCATTGAGTGAGGTGACCCGAGACTTCTTTGGGACCGAAATTATTGCGGCAGACCTGAAGCATGCTGGCACTGCGGGTCGGTCCAGTCAGGTGTTAAAAAGACAAATTTAGACACATTTTTTGTACTTTCTGACCTTCATGTCTTAAAGTAATGATGGCTACTTGTTTTTTCTTTACTGAGCTGCTTTTTTGTTGCCAGACTACAAATTCTAACAGCCTATTCAGTGGGACTATCAGCTGTGCATCCATCTGACTCTCCACAACACAAATGATGGTCCCAGCCCCATTTATATGGCAAGAAATTCCACCTATTAAACCTGACAGGGGACTCCGTAAAGTAAAAAAAAAAAAAAGATCCACTGGACGTGGTTTCCAAGATTTGAAGACGTTTCGCTACCTCTCCAGGAAGCTTTCTCAATTCAAATGTCTG